TGATGAACCTCTCGCCAGGCTCACCAAGAAGCAAAGAGAGAGGACCCCAAAAAACAAAATCAGAAATGATAGAGGTGAAATAACAACAGACCCCACAGAAATACAAATGATTGTTAAAAAATACTATGGACAACTCTACTCTAACAAACTAGACAACCTAGAGGAAAATGACATATTCCTAAAAAATACAACATTCCAAAACTCAATCAGGAAGAATCTAAAAATCCCAATAGGCCAATAACTATGGAAGAAATTGAAGCAGTCATCCAAAAGCCTCCAGCAAACAAAAGCCCAGGGCCGGATGACTTCACAGGGGAGTTATATCAAACATTCAAGGAAGAACTAAAACCTATCCTCCTCAGACTACTACAAAAAATTCAAGAGGAAGGAACACTTCTAAGCTCATTCTATGAAGCCAGCATCACCCTAATACCAAAACCAGGTAAAGACAACACAATGAAAGAGAATTACAGGCCAATATCCCTCATGAACATAGATGCCAAAATCCTTAACAAAATCTTAGCAAATCGGATCCAGCAGTTCATCAGAAAGATCATACACCATGACCAAGTAGGATTTATCCCAGGGATGCAAGGATGGTACAATATCCGCAAATCAATAAACATGATACATCATATAAACAAAAAGAAAAAAAAAACACATGGTCATATCAATTGATGCAGAAAAAGCATTTGACAAAATCCAACACCCATTTCTGATAAAAACTCTCAGGAAGGTTGGAATAGAAGGATCATACCTCAACATAATAAAAGCCATATATGACAAAACCCACAGCCAACATCATACTCAATGGACAAAAACTAAAACATTTCCCCTAAGAACAGGAACAAAACAGGGATGACCACTCTCACCACTCCTTTTTGACATAGTACTGGAAGTATTAGCCATTGCAATTAGACAAGAAGAAGAAATAAAAGGCATCCAAATTTGAAAATAAGAAGTAAAACTGTCTTTATTCGCAGATGACATGATATTATACATAAAAAACCCTAAAGACACCATCAAAAAACTATTAGACTTAATAAAAGAATTTGGCAATGTAGCAGGATACAAAATGAATGCCAAGAAATCTATGGCATTTCTATACACCAATAGTGAACTTACAGAAAGAGGGACTAAAAAAGCAATCCCATTTACCATCGCACCAAAAAAATTAAGATACCTAGGAATAAACTTAACTAAAGAGGTAAAAGACCTCTACTCAGAAAACTACAGGACGTTGAAAAAAGAGATAGAGGAAGACATAAACAGATGGAATAACATACCATGTTCTTGGATTGGTAGAATCAACATCATTAAAATATCCATACTACCCAAAGCAATCAATAAATTCAACACACTTCCTATTAAAATGCGAACAGTATATTTCACAGTTCTAGAACGAACTCTCCAAAAAATCATCTGGAATAAAAAAAGACCCTGAATAGCTGCAGCAATCCTGAGAAAGACGAAAAAAGTAGGTGGGACCTCAATACCAGATATCAAGCTGTGTTACAAAGCCACTGTCCTCAAAACTGCCTGGTACTGGCACAAGAACAGACATATAGATCAATGGAATAGAATAGAGAGCCCAGAAATCGGCCCGAACCAATATGCTCAATTAATATTTGACAAAGGAGGCAAGAACATACAATGGAGTCAAGATAGTCTCTTCAATAAACGGTGTTGGGAAAATTGGACTGATACATGCAAGAAAAATGAAACTAGACCACCAACTTACACCGTACACACAAATAAACTGAAAATGGATAAAGGACTTAAATGTAAGACGAGAAACCATAAAAATACTAGAAGAATCCAAAGGCAACAAAATCTCAGACATATGCCGAAGTAATTTCTTCACTGATACAGCTCCTAGGGCATTGGAAACTAAAGAGAAAATAAACAAATGGGACTACATCAAAATAAAAAGCTTCTGCACAGCAAAAGAAACCATCAACAAAACAACAAGAAATCCCACTGCATTGTAGAACATATTTGCCAATGTTATCACCGATAAGGCTTTAATCTCCAACATTTATAGGGAACTCATACAACTTAACAAAAGGAAGATAATCCAATCAAAAATGGGCAAAGGACCTAAATAGACACTTTTCAAAAGAGGACATTCAGAAAGCCAGGAGACATATGAAAACATACTCAAAGTCACTAATCATCTGAGAAATGCAAATCAAAACAACAATGAGGTACCATCTCACACCTGTCAGAATGGCTATCATCAACAAACAACAAGTGCTGGAGAGGATGTGGAGAAAAAGGAACACTCGTGCACTGCTGGTCGGAATGCAGACTGGTGCAGCCACTATGGAAGACAGTATGGAGTTTCCTCAAAAAACTTAAAATGGAACTCCCATTTGACCCTGTGATCCCACTTCTAGGAATATATCCCAAAAAATCAGAAACACCAATCAGAAAGGATATATGCACCCCTATGTTCATAGCAGCACAATTCACCATATCTAAGATCTGGAAACAGCCTAAGTGCCCATCAGCAGATGAATGGATTAGAAAACTGTGGTACATCTACACGATGGAATACTATGCTGCTGTAAAAAAAGCAGGAATTCTTACCATTTGCAACAGTATGGATGGAACTGGAGAGCATTATGCTAAGTGAAATAAGCCAGTCAATGAAAGAAAAATACCACATGATCTCACTCATTTATGGTTAATTAAGACCATTATAAACTGATGAGCAAAAATAGATACAGAGGCAGAGCAACATGGAACAGACTGTCAAACTACAGCTGGAAGGTTGGGTAGGGTTGGGGGGGTGGGAGGGGGGGTAAGATATCAACCAAAGGATTTGTATGCATGCATATGAGCATAACCAATGGACACAAGACACTGGGGGGCATGGGATGCTAGGGGAGGGTCAAGGCGAGAAAAAAAAAAGGAGACATATATAATACTCTTTGTAATACTTTAAGCAATAAAAGAAAAAAAATAAAAATAAAGAAAGAAATAAAACACTCTAATATTTATAATTGCTGAATGCTTTTCTTTTTCTTTAAATGTGAAATCTATGGCACACTTCATGTGTTTGATATTACATGAAGAAACTCAGTAATGAGCAATTGTTAGTACACAATGAATCTATCACTCTCTTTACCAGAGTATTTATGAGGCAGATGTGCTGATAAGAACATAATAAAGTTTCTAAAGTGGATAAAATTCCAATTAACAAGCATTTGTCTTCTTATATATAGAATAAGAAAAAAAAAGTCTAGATTAAAACTTTCCCGTAGTAGATGAAAGTGGGATTAGCAAATACATTAAAATATTATCTGAAAATATACTCATACATGATTTTAGAACAAATAAATATCTATTGTAAATGAATTTATATAAATGAATTCATATAATTATATCTGTTTATTTGTCTATAATATACTTAAATAATTAACTATGGACGATAATGATAAATTCACTACAGTATTTAGCATCCTTCACATTTCTGATGCACAGAGAAACCTGAGATAGATTCATCAAATTATATTCTATAGATCCATAGCATTCTTTTAAAGTACTTTGGTTTAGTTATATGGAGGTGTGGACATGAATTGGAGTTCTAGCTTTTTATCCTTTATGTTAATTTGTTTTGTATGTGGAGATTCTGTCTTTTTAGGTATTGTTCATAGACAGGATCTCAAAACCAAAAACTAAAATGCTTGAAAGCTACTGATCAAATCTCACTCTTTGATTTTAACAGATTGAGAAATTGAGTTGTAAAAAAAGGCTAAGTTCATTGCCCAAGGGGACACAGTGCAGGAGAGAAACTAAAGCTGGAAAATAGAATTTTAAAATATATTTTGATTGATTTCAGAGAAAAAGGGAGAGAGAGATAGAAACATCAGTAATGAGAGAATCATCGATTGGCAGCCTCCTGCATGTCCCACCCTGGGGATCAAGCTTGCAACCCCTGCATGTGCTTTGAGAATTGAACCATGACTATGTGTCTTGCTTTGGCCAATGGATTATTAAGGAATGTGGTGTACAAACTTCAGCATATTTGAAAACAAGTTTGCTTTTTTTAACATTTGAGGTGTTAAATGTGAGTCAATGAAATTTATAGCCAATTAATGTCATAATACTTATCTAGTCCATTAGTTGATAGCTTGATTTGTTTTCTTGGTTTGCGAGAAATTCTTTGCAGAATTAGGATTCTAAATATATTTCTATCATTTCTTTTTCATCTATTAATACATTGGCATAAGCAGTGAAATTTGTATTATGTTCTTATACTGCATCCTACTTTAAGATTGAGAGATTTTTTTTATAACTGCTTTGTCATTTCATGGAGAATAAAAAAAATGCTGATATGAGAAAAGGTAATATTGCTTGGAAGGAAAGGAACAGCATAGATAGCCTACCCATCATAAGAAATGATATTACCTAGTAACAAGGTAAATTTTATAACAAGGTGTAATGATAAGTATTAATTGGACTGTCCTAGGTTATTAACTATGAAAAAATTATTTCTATCTGCTGGTCAAGTTGCAAATTATTTTGCTTGTTATGGGACAGATCACCCATAAGTCATGGGAATCTGGGAAACAATAACAATACTTACCAAATATTCCATATTTCTGTCTCATTTCTCAGTCCCCATTCAATTAGATAAAGCCGTGCGACTGGTTCTGGCCAACTAAATAAGCAAACTTCTATCCACTCTTCCCCTGATCTGTCAGGGAAGAAGAGGTATTTCTGATGGTACTGCTGCAACATAGTGCTATCTTTTACAACATTAGTACCTGAGTGACTTTATGGATTAGACCTTCCTTTGACCTATCAATGACCTATCTGTCATTGATAAATAAACTTGCTTGTTATGCCCTGAAGATTTAGGGGTAGTGTGTTACCTAAGTATCACCTAGTGTCTTCTAGATTACCCCAAAAAGAATCTTGGGATTTATGCCATTTAAAATGATTAATTTATTTTTCAATTATTTTGATAGTTCCAGAAGGATCTTTTTCAGTTCCTTTAAAATTTGCTCCTCTCTGTCCTGGACGCTACCCTTGCAAAATTTTGTTAACATCAAGGTATGATGTGCGCACCTACTACATTGAAGGCGTGGTGAGTGATGAATGTCCAGAGACCAGATTTGATTTCGTAACACCAGCATTTGAAGCCCTTACCCAGAATATTCCAATAGTAAGCATGAACTCTTTTATTTTGTATTTTTCTTCATTTTCACTGTTACCATCTCAATTAAAGTTCTCTAAACCTTTTATCTTGAGCTATTACAGATTTCTTTTTTAAACCTTTTTATTTATTGAATGCTTTTTAGAGAGGGAGGGATGGAGACAAAGAGAGGGGGAGAGAGACAGACAGACAAACAGACATCGGACATCGATTTGTTGTTCCACTTATTCTGACCAGGGATTAAACCTGCAACCTTTGCGTATTTCCAATTGTATTATCTGTTGTTGTGTGTTTCTCTACATTGATGTCAGAGTTTTATTCCTGACTATAAATATCATCATGTTACTCACCTGATTAATCACTTATGTCACGACCCCTTTGGCGGTTGAACGACCCTTTCACAGGGGTCGCCTAAGACCATCCTGCATTTCAGATATTTACATTACGATTCATAACAGTAGCAACATTACAGTTATGAAGTAGCAATGAAAATAATTTTATGGATGGGTCACAACATGAGGATCTGTATTTAAAGGGCCAGAAGGTTGAGAACCACTGATCTTATGCTGTATCTCGTTGCTTAAAAAAAATTAACTTTAACTTCTTTAACCTATCACCAAATTCCTACTCAAAAGCCATGTCTCCTGGCTCCACCAAACAGAGTAATGGTCCCTGGCTTACTCTGCTCTAGATTCAGTTGTGATCTTGATATTTATTAAGATGGGTTCATAGGCACTAAGAATAATGATTGGCTGTAGCTTGGCTATCTATTACTCAAAGTGTCTATGCAACATAGAAGAAAGTAACATAATTGTAAGGAATTTTGACTAATAAATTGTTTTGTATTTGTTTACTTAATAAAGACATAACAGAAGTCTGATCAGAGCACGGAAATTTCCTATATGAGATATGTGACCTTTGCTATCTAAGCAATCTACCAGTTAGAACATTTTCTAATGACCCAGTTATTAGGAGTAAAATGTATAACCACAAGACCATTCTATCATTTAAACAATTAGTAAGTCAAACAAAGGAATATTCCTTTAGCTATTAAATAACCCATGGATCAACCTGTTAGGCTCCTGTGTGACATTGAAAGGACATATTTAAGAATAACTATGAAAAGACTTCTTGTGCCTTATATTCACAATTTTTCATAGTTGTTCTTAACAAATATGACTTTCAAATAGCGATTTTTAAGAAATACAATATATAATTTTATGGAAAGCACCAAGAATATGTCATTCAACTTTATAAATATCATCTTTCTTATATTTATCTACCTTTTTCATGCTTTAGATTAATAGAACAATGAATAACTGGAGATGTCACATGAATATAGAAGGAGAATGTTTTTATGGACCTCATAATTTCTCTGTCAAACAAGGTGAAACAGTACAATATCCTCTCACATTCAAACCTCTTTTGGAATGTGAGGTTATGGTATGTATTCATTGATAATTTTTACCTAGTATTAATGTGTCAAAACAATGTATGATATTAACCTATATAATTTACAGTAAATCTTTTTGCAGAAAAGTTATATTTTCATGAATTTGATCATTAGAGTTCACTCTGCCTGAATAATTATTTTAACTTGAGGGATAAACATTCTGAAAGGTGCAATGTCATTGCCTGCCAATTCTTATGCCTATATTACTTTTACATAACACACTAAACAAAGTAAACTCATTGCTTCTACTGTTTTTATTCATTAAGCAAGTTGGTATTTCAGAAATTATTTTCTGAAGACATATTTCTTTGACAAGGATATCAGCATGCACATATTTGCTATCTAAGAGAATACCTGCATAAACTCTGTATTTAGAGAAAGTAAAGAGAAATAATGAGGTTTTCACAGGTATTTCATCTTGCTCATTCCGTAGAGATATTTGTACATAAACTGCAAGACTCAATGACTGACCTCCTTAAATGTTCATTTGATTTATCAGACTCAAGAGTAATAGGATAGTAGAGGCTGTTTGGAATCCAAATGTGACTCCTATAGAGCTGAAATTTGCTTGATTTGTCACAGGGTAAACTTACTGTACAAAATAGAGCTGATGGTATGGAGCATGTCTTTGCCATGAAAGGGATTGGTAGAAGACCCGTGGCCTTGGAAAGTATCACTGCCCACTGTCAGGTGGGGATCCCAGAAGATAGAACCATAATGGTGCCCAATGATACAAAGAACAGATTAACATTTAAGGTAAGACTTTTTTTAGTATAAGAGTATTTTCAGAATGAGTATATAGAATTATAGGAAATTTTAAAAATATTTAATTTTATTTAACTAGATGAAGCAATGACACACAAAGAATGCTTAGAATTCTACTTTATATTAGTCTAACAGCTATTAAATGTTATTGAAATTATAAAGCTGAATTAGGACCAAACAAATTTTATTTCTAAGTGTTAGTATATAATCAAAAGACATTAAAATCTACTTATTTGCTTCATGTGTATTTTCACTTGAAGAAATTGCACATGTTAAGAAAAGATATTTTCAAACGCATTTTTAAATAGCTTTTGAAATTTTCATGTGAAACCTATCAGCACAACATTTCAAAAGTGTTTTCTAGCCAGGCCGGAATCGCTCAGTGTGTGAGCGTCGACCTCTGAACCAGGAGGTCTATGTTTCATTTCCCGTCCAGGGCATATGCCCAGGTTGTAGGTGCGGGAGGAAGCCAGTCAATGATTTTCTCTCACCATTGATGTTTGTATCTCTCTCTCTCCCTCACCTTTCCTCTCTGAAATCAATAAAAAATATATTTACAAAAGTGTATTCTATCCTTTACTAGTGTGAGTAATAGTAGGAATGTGAAGAAATGTATAATCTTTATTTTTATGAAGTTTTGCACTTAGCCCCCTTTGCTTAATTTATTTCAACCAATCCCAAAATACAACTTTCTACTTGTACATTTATCTACAAATTGTTGTGCCCAATAGAATCTTTACAAGAAGCTTCAAATAGCTATCACAGGTGCCTGAATTCAGTTTTAGGGTGTACTGCCAAAGTTTAGAAATTCTCTGAGTTCATCTTCTGCTTTTTTATGATCTTGAAAAATATGTGCTTTGGTTTTCTTCTCCCTTCCTTGCTGGATTGAAAATGGAGGGAATATTATGAACGAAAACCTCATTTTGTCACTCCCCTGCTAAAACTCTTCTTACCAGGATGGAGCACATACTTCTCAAAGTGGCATTTACTATCCTTCAAACGCTTACCTGCTCAGGTTCATCTCTTGCCAATTTTGGCTGCAGCTATACTTAGGCCTTTGTATACAATATTTCCTTTCGCTGCCAGCTAGAAATCTCACTCCAACTTCCTATCTTCCATTTCTCAGTGTTGGTGTAACTCCTTTTCATTGTCTGGAGCAAGTCCGAGATGCCACTTTTTCCAAAAATCCTTACCTATTCCCATAAACCTGAGTAGATCCATTTCGTATGCTTCCACAACATTTTTATACCTGTTCCACCATCAAACATACATCATATTACTCTTACCTGTTTGTTGTTCTCCACCATATTATAAATTGTGAGAAACGCTATGCCTCTCTTATCCATATTTTAAAGCTAGCATAAATCATAGTATCAAGCACATAATAGTTTTTAAGGAAAGGGAACCTCAGAGCCCCAGCAGGGAGGGTGTAGTCAGGACAAGCCCTGCCACCACCACTTCTAATTTGGATCCTCCAAATTAGCCACTGACCACAACCTTGCAACTGCTCCTCTCACTCTGGAGTCTCCAACTAAGCTTAAATCAGAGCATAGGGCCCCTTTTATCCTCCCCTGCTCAGAGTGACCTGTGGTCATCACACATCCCGTTGTTTCTGCCCCCTTTGGGGCAGCGCCTCTGCACAGCCAACTGGGACCTGGAAAGTATTATGCTAAGCGAAATAAGCCAGTCAGAATAAAATAAACTAATGAACAAAAAGATCCAGAGACATAGAAGCATGGAACAGACTGTCTAATCTCGGAGGGAAGGTGGGGGTGTGGGAAGAAATCAACCAAAGAACTTGTATGCATATATGAATCACCCATGGACACAGACAGTGGGTTGGTGGGGACCTGGGGTGGGGCTGTGTGGTAGGGACAGGCTCTAAGGCAGTGGTTCTCAACCTTCCTAATGCTGTGACCCTTTAATACAGGTCCTCATGTTGTGGTGACCCCCAATTTCATTGTTACAAATTAAACATAATTAAAGCATAGTGATTAATCACAAAAACAATATGTAATTATATATGTGTTTTCTGATGGTCTTAGGCGACCCCTGTGAAAGAGCCTTTTGATCCCAAAAGGGGTCGCGACCCACAGGTTGAGAACCGCTGCTCTAAGGGGTCAATGGGAGAAAAAAGGGGATATACGTAATACTTTCAACAATAAAGATTTAAAATAAATTAGAAAGGAAGGAAGGAAGGAAGGAAGGAAGGAAGGAAGGAAGGAAGGAAGGAAGGAAGGAAGGAAGGAAGGAAGGAAGGGAAGGAAAAAAGAAAGAAAGAAAGAAAGAAAGAAAGAAAGAAAGAAAGAAAGAAAGAAGGAAGAAGGAAGGAAGGAAGGAAGGAAGGAAGGAAGGAAGGAAGGAAGGAAGGAAGGAAGAAGGAAGGAAGAAGAAAGAGGAAGGAAGAAAGAAGGGAAGGAGCTTGGCTAGTGTGGCTCAGAGGTTGAGCATCAACCCATGAACCAAGAGGTCACTGGTTTGATTCCAGGTCAGGGCACATGCCTGGGTTGCAGCTGTGATTTCAAGTAGGGGGCATGCAGTAGGCAGCCAATCCATGATTCTCTCTCATCATTGATGTTTCTATCTCTTTCCCCATCCTCCTTCATCTTTCTGAAATCAATAAAAAACAAAAAAACAAAACAAAAACCCCAAAAAACTTTAAAAATATCCAGTGGAGGAAAGAAAGAAGGAAATATTATGATCACTTAGATTTATTAAAAATAAGGGAAAAATATTTTTCCAACACTCCTTTTCCTTGTCCAGAATTTACTGGTGAGCAAGGAATCCTGTTTTAAGAATTTGCAGGCCCTGACTGGTTTGGCTCAGTGGATAAAGCGTCGGCCTGCGGACTGAAAGGTCCCAGGTTCGATTCCAGTCAAGGGCATGTACCTTGGTTGCGGGCACATCCCCAGTGGGAGGTGTGCAGGAGGCAGCTGATCGATGTTTCTCTCTCATCGATGTTTCTAACTCTCTATCTCTCGCCCTTCCTCTCTGTAAAAAATCAATAAAATATATTTTAAAAAAAAGAATTTGCGGAAAACAAGTTAGAGAAAAACCTGAAATTTCATAGCATTGCTTATTTCATTTTGTTGTTATGGAGGAGTTAATGTCTATAGGTTTTTAATATTTTATTCTTCAGAATGAATGCATATTTTAAAATGTAGGCTTTTAAAACTAATAATTATGTTATATTAACTACATCTAATTAAATGTAGAAGTGGAATTCTATTCATAACAAATCCTCACAAATATTAATAATTAAAGTTTATATTTCTATTATTTTAATCCACAACTAAACTGAAGAACCTGGATATTTTACTTATAGAATGTAAACTTTTAGTGAAGCTCTTTCTGTAATTAAAGATATCACCTATTAAATTATATTTCATGAAAGTATTAATATTTATTATGTGTTCCAGCTCTTACTAATATTTTTATATTCATACCCTCAGGACATTTGCCAAACTATTCAACAGTTATTATTTGACATTGCAGTTGCCTAAGGTTGCAATAACACTTGTGGCCAACAACTTGAAAGGAAGATCTGGGGAATCAGACATCCTTGGGGGATTTTAAAAGCTTCACATATTCCTGGGGAACATGCAGGCCACATCCATTTGCAGAATTGTGCAGTTTCCCAGGAAAGATCTGAGAGGATCCCATTTTTCCCATTTCTGGCTGACACAGAGGCACTGTGTAAGCTGGAAATTAAGGTTAATGCAGTTTTAAATAACTATCCGAGTGCTCAAAGTGTGCTTCAACACATATACAGTGCTCCTTGACAAAGGGAAGATGATGTATTGTTTCAAGGCATTTAAAGAAACCTGTGACAAATTATTGCTGACCACGAAGCTAATTAAGCAGGGACTTCAGGGGGCACATACTACTGTGAATGCTGAATCACAGTATTAGTTCCAAAAAGTCACTAAATCAACAAAGAACAAAACATAGGGGAGCAGTGATCTGATTTAGAAAATGGCTATAGTACTTTATATAAAACGCACATTTTTTCAACAAAACAATAAAATTTATGAGGCAAAGAAAAAGGAAACAAAGAAATGGGGAAGTATAACCCACACACATACACACACAGGATATTAAGCAGTCACTGGAAGCTATCCCTGAAGGGGCCCACATGTTGGCTAAGTAGACAAATACCAGTACTTTAAACAAACCTTTGTAAATTGTTCAGTGAACTAAAGGAATCCTGTCTGAAGAATTAATGAAAAGTTTCAATAAAAAGATAGTATCAAGAAATATATAGAATTATAAAAAATAAATTCTGGATTTGAAAAGTTCAATAAAAGAAAGGAATTATCCACTAAATGGACTCAAAATATTTTCTATTTTCCCTTAGGATTTCTCCTTTGTCAGGTTATTTAGGACTATGTTGTCTAAAATTTCATCTGTTTAAGGATTTCCCAAATTTTTCCCCATTTCTGATTTCTAATCTAGTTCCATTCTTGTTAAAACACATACTGTGTATGATGCAATTTGTTGAGGCTTTGTTTACTACAATGTCCTATGATATGGTCTATCCTGAAAAATATTCTGTGTGCTTGAGACATGCTAAAGGGCATCTATGAAAGTCCCACAACTAACATCATACTTAATGAAAAAGCATTCAATGATTTTTTTCCTTATGGTCAGGAACAAGGTAAGGATTTCCAGTCTTGAACCTTTTATTGAACATTGTACTAGCTAGAAGGTCATACGTAGTGCAATTAGTTAAGAACAAGAAATAAAAGGTATCTACATAGAAAAGGAAGAAATCATACAATATCTATTTGTAGATATCATGATCTTATAAAGAGAAAATTATAAGAAATTTACTAATTATGCTCTCAAAACTAATACATGAGTTTAGAAGATTTACAGGATATAATATCAAATATAAATCAACCATTCCTATAAATTAGCAGTGAACAATCCAAAGTAAAAAATTTTAAAAGTCTTTATTGTTTAAAGTACTACATATGTCCCCTTTTTTCTCCCAACAAATAAATTGGACTTCAAAGTTAGAATGTTAGAAAATGGCTATAGTACCTTATATAAAACACAAATGATACCTTGAAGAAAGTGAAAAATCCAACCAGTGAATGAAAGAAAATATTTACATGCCATCTATCTGAGAAGGGCCTTATTTCTGGAGTATGTCTAACAGCACAAAGTAAAATGACAACACAGTTTTTAAAATGTGCAAAGAATTTGAATAGACTTTTCTCCAAAGAGGATATGCAAATGAGCAATAAGTAGGTAAAAAGATATTCCACATTATTAGTCATTAAGGGAATAAAAATTAAAATCACAATAAGATGCCACTTTACACTCATTAGGGTGGCTATAATTAAAATGACAGACAATAAAAACTGACAGATGTAGAAAAATCAGAACTATCACGCATTGCTAGTGGGAAATTACAGCCATTTTTGAAAACAGTTTTGGAAGACAGTAACTTAAAAGGTTAAATATTGAATTATAATTTGCCTGAGCAATTCCATTCCAAGTTGTATGCTCATGAGAAATGAAAATCTATGTCCACTCAAAAACGTGTATGTTTTCAGAACAGCTTTTTTCAAATTAGACAAAAATGGAAACAACCCAAACTTTCATCACTTATGAATGGATATACAAAATGTTTCATATCATATAATTCAATACTATTCATTCATAAACAATGATGTATTGATATATGTCACAATGTAGATGAACCTTGGAAAGATCATGCATGCTAAGAGGAAAAAGACAGTCACAAAAGACTACATATTATATGATTTCTTTCCTATGGATTGTCCAGAATATGCAAATTTATAGAAGCATAAAATAGACTAGTGTTTGCCTGGGCAGTGAGGGTGGCAAGATGCAAATACTAAGTAAGCTGAAAGTTGGGTTTAACCAGAGTTGTGGTCAAATGTTGCTTAAATATCCTTTATATACTGTGTTAATATTGATATAGAAATTCATTGAAATGGTTCATCATTTGTACATTAAAATTACATAGAGAAAATGGAGCATTACCTATAAAAGATACTCAGATTGTCTAAGCATCAATGATCTTGCTACAAATAGCAACAGAAAATAAACATCACTCTTTTTGCAAGAACCTCCTTCTATTTTTTCATAGGTCTCATATTTTTCTTCTACTGTATATAGCAGTTTGGGGGCTTGCCTTTTATTTAAAAGGAAACATTTTTAATGGAAGTATTTAAATTACATTTCATTTTCTCCTATGCTTTAGCTTGTTTTATTGATTTCATGTAAATGTTGACATATAGTTCTTGATTTTGAACTCTGTTTTCCAGGTATCTTCAAATGTTCCCATAGTGTGGGGAAAGCAAAGCATCACCGTAGAACCTGGTAGTGCAATTCCATATATTCTACACATAAGCTCTTGGAAACGTGGTGTATTCAAAGGTAACCAAACCATTAATAAAATATTATTAGCTACCACATTAGCTCAAATACATGAAAATATAATTTACATTTCCCCTTTCTAATAAATGACCCAGAGGGAAATTTATTTTTTCATTTCAGTCATTACCTTTCTAAATAATCAGAGCTTGAGGCACACATTTTAAGTTTAATACTATACTCTCTTGGCCATTTATTTGAATTTATTGGTGTGACAAATTCCTAGAAGGAAAAATGTTTAATTAAGGGAATTTATGTTTAAAATTATGATAGCTTCAAATAGTTATTCCAATTTATGAACCAGACAGCATCCTATGAGAATGTCTGTTTATAGGACTATGTATAATAAAAACATACCTGCATTTGATACATGAACAATAGGTTAAAATCTTTAGTATGTGTGAATTTTTCATGTTGTATGTCTAATACAGCATTCACTTATACAAATTACCTTGGTGGTCTCTCAACAGACTTGTTTGGGAGTGGCTGTAAAGGTTATTCTTATAAGCTTTTTCAGGGAGGGGTGTGTATGAAAAGAGTGGAAGAGTAATAAGGAAGAACAGAGAGGGTATGATTCATCAAAGGAATACGTTACCCCATTTCAAAGAGCATTAAATGCCCCATGGTGTTTGGATCCTGCTGAGGAAATTATTCTAATGCAGGTGAAGGGATACTAGTTAGTGGGTAGAAAGCATGCACCTAGTAACAATCTTGTGTGCCCTGGAGGTTGAGTACTAGCCTCTCATCCCTGCTTGTCTCAATAAAGAATGTTTTAGGGAAGGGTCTCCAGTGGTCGGCAAACTGCGGCTCGTGAGCCACATGCGGCTCTTTGTCCCCTTGAGTGTGGCTCTTCCACAAAATACCGACTCCTGTGCATGGGCCACGAAGTTTCAATCGCACTGTACATGCGTGCCCGCACATGGTATTTTGTGGAAGAGCCACACTCAAGGGGTCAAAGAGCCACATGTGGCTCGTGAGCCGCAGTTTGCCGACCACTGGTATACCATTGGTTCCCAATGTGGGGCACAGGTCCCACAGGGGGCATTTTTATTTTTAATATGGGCAATTCGAGAATGAGTTATTAACAGTGTATTTTTTGCATTTCTTATGGTTATAGGGGCCTCATATCCTATCTAATAAAAGAGAAACATGGTAATTAGCCATACCTCCGCTACCCTTCCCATTGGCTAATCAGGGAGATATGCAAATTAACTGCCAGCCAAGATGGCGTCCGGCAGCCAGGTAGCTTGAAGCGAACATGAGGCTTGCTTGCTTCAGTGACGGAGTACTCCAACGTTCCCCGCCTGCCACTGCCGGCCTCTGAGCTTGCAGTTTGAAACATTATTACAAATAAAGAAGCTAAACAAAACCCCAGAAACCTGCTTTCAGCCCTCTGGGATCTCAGAGCTGGAGGTGAAACAGTGTTTCGATTATAGAACCCAAACAAACCAGATACCTGCTTTCAGCAGTGGAGGCCTAAGAGCTGGAGCCAAGCCTCAGAGCTAAAGCTGGCCCAGAATAAAAAAAGAAAAAAAGGAGCGGTTGGGAGCTTCAGTCACCTGCCAGCCTGAAAACAGCCCTCAGCCCCTCTCCCAGACCGGCCAGGCACCCCAGTGGGGACCCCCACCCTGAAGGGGGTGTGACCAGCTGCAAGCAACCATCATCCCCTCATCCAGGCTGGCCATGCACCCCAGTGGGGACCCCTACCCTGATCCAGGACACCCTTCAGGGCAAACCAGCCAGCCCCCACCCGTGCACCAGGCCTCTATCCTACATAGTAAAAGGGTAATATGCCTCCCAGCACCGGGATCAGCAGAGCCGCGAGGCCTCCCGAACCCGGGATCAGCGGAGCCGCGAGGCCTCCTGGCACCGGTATCAGCGTGACGGGGCAGCGCCCAAACCCCCTGATCGCCCTGCGGCTCTGTGTGTGATAGGGGGCGGGGCCACAACCTCCCTATCCGCCCTGCTCTGTTCGTGACAGGGGAAGGCACCCCAACCCCCTGATCAGCCCTGCTCTGTGCCTGATAGGGGGGAGCTCCCCAACCCCCTGATTGCCCTGCAGCTCTGTGTGTGACAGGGTGCGGCGCCCCAACCCCCTGATCGGCCCTGCCCTGAGTGTGACAGGGTGCGGAACCCCAACCCCCTGATCGGCCCTGCTCTGTGGGTGATAGAGGGCGGCGCCCCAACTGCCTCCTACGGGCCCTGCTCTATGTGTGATGGGGTAGAGCCATAACCTCCCCATTGGCCCTGCTCTGTGTGTGACAGGGGGTGGTGCCGCAACTCCCCTATCGGCCCTACTCTGTGAGTGACAGGGGGGAGCTCCTCAACCCCCTGATCGGCCCTACTCTTTGCATGACAGGGGGGACCTCCCCAACCCCCTGATGGGCCCTGCTCTGTGCATGACAGGGGGGAGCTCCCCAACCCCCTGATCGACCCTGCTCTGTGCGTGACAGGGTACGGAGCCCCAACCCCTCTGATGGGCCCTGCTCTGTGAGTGACAGGGGGCAGCGCCTCAACCCCCTGATTGGCCCTGCTCTGTGCATGACAGGGGGTGGCACCGCAACCTCCCCATCCACCCTGCCTTGAATGTGACAGGGGGCGGTGCCCCAACCCCCCAATCGGCCCTACCCTGAGCGTGACTGAGGGTGGCATCGCAACCTCCCAATCTGCCCTGCTCTGTGCATGACAGGGGGCGGCGCCCCAACTCCCCAATCGGCCCTGCTCTGAGCCTGACCAGGGGCTGCACCTAGGGATTGGGCCTGCCCTCTGCCACCTGGGAGCAGGCCTAAGCGAGCAGGTCCTTATCTCCCTAAGGTTCCCAGACTGCGAGAGGGCACAGGCCAGGCTGAGGGACCCTCCTCCCCCCCGAGTGCACAAATTTTTGTGCACCAGGCCTCTAGTATAGTATACAAATATATATTGTGACATATTTATGCATTTCAGTTTTCTGTTATATATTTTGAAACTCTATTTGCTATTTTTTAATATCACTTCATATTATTATAATTTTTTAAAACAATTTCTTAGTGATTTCTTCCACAGTACTTAACTGTCCTTTCATTCTTTTATTTTTCTCTTTTATGGATGCCATGTGTTTTGGAATCTTGTTTAGACCTAGTTAATGGCCTTTTAGGCTTCCTCCATGTGAATAGGAGTTCACTTTTTGAATAATCAGAATTATATGTCACAGGGGGGCATCAGGATTTTAGAGGTGCTTTAGGTGAGTCATGGCCAAAAAAAGTTTGGGAACCATTGGTCTATACCTAGCATAGAAGGTATAGAAAGCTGCTCCAAAGAAGAAAGTACAGAGAATAGACTGAATGCCAATCCTATTAACAAGCAGAAGGGAAATTTCAGAATGGTAAACAATGAACCAATTAGTATCACAGTAATAGAATGTACTGTGAAGGAAGAGCCAACCTGCCCACCCCCACTCTCTGCTTGGCTTCAGATATCACCACAGTCATAGTCATTAGCATCTTCTGAAATCTTTGATCACTTTGCAGACATTTGGCTTTACAAAGCCCATTAATAATTCTCCATGTGATAGATTTTGAGCTATAGTGAGCCCGTTCTTCTCCTCTCTGCCTCCCTTCTCCCCTCTCACCTCCCCCCCACCCCCTTTCCATCTCTCTGTTTTTTGTCACTCTAGGCAGAGGATATGCACTCCAAACCCCCATGTTGTACAAGGCTCAATTGTGTACATTTAATTGTAACAGGAGCTTAAAAAGAGTGGGAGATAAGCTGTATTATATATAGATTAAAGACAGAAGTGACCACAGCACTGTATTGTTTATTATTATTATTTTTAATAATTTTTTGATATACATTTTTTATTAATTTCAGAGATGAAGGGAGAGGGAAAGAGAGATAGAAACATCAATTGAGCCCACAACCCAGGCATGTGTCCTTGACTGGAATCAAACCCAGGACTCTTTAGTCCCCAGGCCAACTCTCCATCCACTGAGCCAAACCGGCTAGTGCTGTATTGTGTTTTTTTTTTAAATCTGTGTTCTTTATCATCCATATAAATTTGTTTTTCCACCTTGCCTTTTGAAGGGGAAATAAAATAAAAGAAATTGAGTTAAAATAAAGGTTAAAATAAAGAAATAAAAAGGTAGAAGTAAGAGGAGGGTTAGCAAAAGATCCCTTAGGCTTTCATCTTTAATCTTGCTACTTAGATTTTATTAGGGTAGTATATTAGAAACGAAACAATGGAAATTAGCTTGATTATGTGTAATACAATGTGCATAGAGAATATACGTATAAAAAAACTTTGATGAAATTAATGTGCCTCTAAGAAATTCACAAGTTGACAAAAGGCCAGCCTTACAGAAATTTTCCTGAACAGTGTTCCTCATTATCGATTGGGAGTGGTGAAGCATGAAGCCAGTGCTAAGAACAGGGTGGGTGTGAGAAGACCAAGTGCAAAGAGGTCAATAGTTTGTCAGGTTTAACTGTTGCCATGGAAACTTGCTTTTGGTGGTGATCATTGAGCAGTATCTAAGACCTATCACTTTAGATCAAAATAAATGTTCTGGAAGAAGTATGGGAATGATTTTGCGATTTTGCCAGTCAAAACCATTTATTCTGTGATATGTTTGGTGATATTTAGACATGACTTAATGTACCATTTCCCATACTCTGTTGTCAGGGACATATGTATGCCTTTGCCACTTATTACCTGTGTGACCTAGAGTAAGTTACCAAGCTTCTCTACAGCCAACCTTCTGTACAGCCCAGGTTGCTCAGCTTTCATCTGTAATACCTTCAACAATAAAGATAAATTTAAAAATAATAGGGTGGTGAAGGCTTGGGGCATGGGGCGGGGGTGAGCTAGAAGGGGTCAGTGGAGGAATAAGGGGAACATATAATACTTTCAACAATAAAGATTTAAAAGAAAAACATAAATAAAATGATTAATTAACTCCTGTCAAAGTAATTAAATAGGTAATGGGTGTAGCATATGCCGAGCATAGAGTAAGCATTCAATAAATGGTTTTTCATAATTTTCCAAAGAAACACCATTAGCATAAAATAACATTGCTCAGTCTTTAAGTTTGAGTTTGATATTTATATTTTATAAGCTAATATGAAATGAGAGAAAAATGATTCCTAATTTTATAAAATGACTTATATACTGAGAAATGTTTATTTTATTGACTGTTAAAGCAGCCTTTTGAAAAATCAACCATTTAGACTGTTTGGCAGCTAAAAATGTCCATTTTGTCAAAGTAAAAACTTTTTTTATTAAAAGTATAACTGCAATAATTACTATTTCTATTAGATTTTTTGTAATGTTCTCTTCAGACAAACTAAGAATCTCCATTAAGTCAATGATGCTGTACCTTAGACAGTTGCTTTTGCTCACTACTATTATTTCTGTTGTACCTATAGTGTTTCCAAAGCCATCTAATAATTTTCCTGTCACTCTAATAAACTCAAGCACCAACAATCAAGTTTTTTTATTTACTTTTGTTCCCTTTTGGATTGGCCTTAGCCAGAACAGAGGAATATAGGGGAAGAAATAATCACATGTATATATACTGTGGAAAAATTATCATCTCTTCACATATTCTTTTATATTCACACATATTCTCATAATCAGTATTTACTGCATTTGATTTGAAGGTTCATTGCTGATAGTCAGGTTATTGAGTCTAATGTTATTCTTTTTATAAGTTTATAAGGATTTGACTACTTATCTCTTCTACTATCCTAGCTAATAAAGAGTAATATGCAAATTGACCATCACTCCAACACACAAGATGGCCACCCCTATGTGGTCGAAGATGGCTGCCACAAGATGGCCGATAGGGGAGGGCAGTTGTGGGAGACCAGGCCAGCAGGGGAGGGCAGTTGGGAGGGACCAAGCCTGAAAGGGAGGGCAGTTGGGGCCAACCAGGCCTGCAGGGGAGGGCAGTTGGGGACAACCAGGCCTGCAGGGGAGGGCAGTTGGGGGGGACCAGGCCAACAGGGGAGGGCAGTTAGAGGCAATCAGGCAGGCAAGGGAGCAGTTAGGTATCGATCAGGCTGGCAGGAAAGTGGTTAGGGGGTGATCAGGCTGGCAGGCATAAGTAGTTAGGGGCAGTCAGCCAGGCAGGCAGGCGAGCAGTTGGGAGCCAGCAATCCTGGAATGTGAGAGGGATGTCCGACTGCCTAAATGGGCAGTCGGACATCCCTTGAAGGGTCCCAGATTGGAGAGGGTGCAGACTGGGCTGAGGGACACACCCTCCCATGCACGAATTTTGTGCATTGGGCCTCTAGTTGCTAATTAATAACCAAAAATAAAGATGCAATTTTAAAATGTAATTGTTTAGAAATAACATTAAATTTATATTGCCAAGCAAAAGGTTTTTCTCTAGAATAAATTAAGTAAAAAATATTGGCATAATTTTGGTGCATTGTTTAAAAGTGTCCTGCCCTAACCGGTTTGGCTCAGTGGATAGAGCATCGGCCTGCAGACTGAAAGGTCCCAGGTTCGATTCCAGTCAAAGGCATGTACCTTGGTTGCAGGCAACATCCCCAGTAGGGGGTGTGCAGGAGGCAGCTGACCGATGTTTCTCTCTCTTTCTCATCGATGTTTCTAACTCTCTATCCCTCTCCCTTCTTCTCTGTAAAAAAATCAATAAAATATATTTTAAAAATAAATAAACAAATGAAAGTGTCCTTTCAATCTATATATGTAAAAGGCTAAATGACCAGCCAACCAGACAGTAGGTATGATGCACATTGACCACCACGGGGCAGACGCTCAACACAGGAGCAGCTGAGCAACAGCAACTTTTCAGCGTGCCCTCTCCCACTTCAGGACACCTCGGAGGATATTGGAGAGTTGGTTTTGGCCTGATCCCCATAGGCTAGGTCAAGGGACCCACCTGCTGGAGGGACCCCACTCACTCTGCAGATGCCCTTCGAGCCCTGGCACCGCCCAGGTACAGCTGGCCAGGGAGGCTGGCTCCAGGGCATGTCTGGCCCGTCTCACCCAGTCCTGCCCCACCAGCCACCTTCTAATTAATTTCCTTTCAATGTGCACGAATCCATGCACCAGGCCACTAGTTAAAACACAAGCTACTAAATTGACCTATAATTGCTTCCATAGTTCTCTTCATCCATTTCCTTTTTCTTAAGATAAGTATTTAATTTCTCATTTTGCTCTATAATATATGGTCTTGTTATACTCATATAGGGCTTTTGAATTGTTTTACAAATACAAATACTTGTCCAACTTTTCTTTGTTAAAGGATAATAAAAATGTAGTAGCATTTAAATGGATGTATTGGAGGAAGAAAAAATATGCTGAGTAACTAAATGGACTGAAGTGAGAAAGAATAGAGAATGTGTCCTTTTCTTGCGAGTATTTCATAGTATTTGAAATATTGACCAGGTTTCCTTATTCAGTGCACACATATTGTTTAACATATGTAGTGTTATCTAAATAAGTTTTATTTGATGGAATTGTTTTCTTAGTTTCCTTTTCAAATGCTTCATTGCTAATATATAGGAATTTAACTGATGTTGTATGTTGATTTTATATCCTGCATATTATATTGCTGCATGCATTAATTAGGTCTGTTTTTTGTGTAGAATCAATAAGGCTTTCTACATATAAGATTGTGTCATCTGCAGACAGAGATGATTTTACTTCTGCATTTGCAATTTGGATGCCTTTACTATATCTATATATATAAAAGCCTAAGTGACTGTTACTACTAGTCGACTGATCGACTGGTCAACCTGTCACTATGATGTGTACTGACCATTAGGGGGCAGATGCTCAACACAGGAGCTTCCCCCTGGTGATCAGTGCACTCCCACAGCCAACCTCCTTTGGCTGTCCAACCTCCTGTGATCCCTACCCCCTGCCAACCAGCCCCTATTGGCCCCAATTTGAACTGGGCAAGACGGCCCCAATCACCGGCTAGGCTAAGGGACCCCACCCGTGCATGAATTTGTGCACTGGGCCTCTAGTCTTGCATAATTGCTCAGGTTAGAAATTCCAGTATTATGTTGAAAAGAAACGATAAAACCAGACATCCTTGTCTTGTGCCAATATTAGAGAAAATGTTTTTAGTTTTTAACCATTGAGTATAATGTTAGCTTGTGGATTTCTCATATGTGGCCTTTATTATTTTAAGAAAGTTTTCCTATTCCTGTTTTTCTTTTATCATGAAAGGCTGTTTAATTTTGTCAAATATTTTTTATTCATCAATTGAGATAATCACGTGTGTTTTATTTTCTTCATTCTGTTAATGTGGTATGTTATACTGGTTGGTTTTTGTATGTTGTACCACACCCCCCACACTTATTAAGTTTTCTGAAAAGTGATACAGTTCTATTATTTGACACATTTAAAAAAATATAAGAAAGCTATTTAAAATATAATTTTAATGAAGATTTTGAGAAAATTTTCTTGAATTCACTAAATTGTTCTGTACCACCATCAGATTTAATTCTGATACTAAAATCTAGAATTTATGTTTGGCTTTGTTGTTATTAGTTTCAAGCTAGAGCAACTTTTTTTTTTTTTTTAAATATATTTTATTGATTTTTTCAAGAGAGAAAGGGAGAGAGATAGAGAGTTAGAAACATCGATGAGAGAGAAACATCGATCAGCTGCCTCCTGCACAACCCCCACTGGGGATGTGCCCGCAACCCAGGTACATGCCCTTGACCGGAATTGAACCTGGGACCTTTCAGTCCGCAGGCCGACGCTCTATCCACTGAGCCAAACCGGTTTCGGCAGCTAGAGCAACTTTAATATCTGAAACCGACCTTCATTTTAAAAAACTAATCCCTGGTTAATCTGAAATTTTGTACCTATGTGTTGTAGGTAAACTTTCATTTTCCATTGAAAGCAGTCAAGATGGTGATTCTGAGAAAGAATCAGATGAAAATCAAGGTCAACATGAAATTCAACATCAGGATGGAATATCTTTTTTTAAGAAATTGTCAGAAAAATCCATCAAGCTTGATACGGCAGGCTTAGGTAAATTTATTATTATGAAGTTTCATGACCAGCATTCATAAACTGGTTTATGAGTAGATACTTTACATTCATAATTCATATACAAATGTGTTGCACATATTTATCAGACTTTTATTGTATTATTTTAATATTAAATTTATGTAGTTTAATTTCTGGATTTGTTTTGCTGTTAACCGTAATAGAGTATAACCCTTCAGCTTGAAGGCTGCCTACTCTTTCATAAGTGAAAAAATTCATATATATTTATGTTATTAAACAAAAACAGCAATTAATTTCTGATAAAATATTAATGAGTATATTATTTTAACAATGTAATATAATTTTCTTCAATATAGGGTATGATAGTCTTTCTCATGCAAAAGAAAGCAAATGCTATTGTTTTTCCTTCCTATTTTATAAAATTTTATTTGCATGTTAATAAACATCATATCTTTTTAGTAGGAATTCAAGGGAAAATGAGATGGTGGAGTGTGGGAAAAGACAGGGGAAAATTCCTGGAGAATGGGGGAATGAGTTTTGTTATGTGTAAGAAGCAGGGACATAGGAGACCATTAGAGAAAACTGGATCATCAGGAGCAAAGTTGTGGATACAAACTTATCCCAAAGAAGAAATCTTTATTAAATGAATTCGTATTTAGTCAGATTCTTCAGAGAAACAGATACTACCATAATATTCTAATATAATGTAATATATTATAAATAGTGGTATTTTAAGGAATTGGCTAACATGATTGTGGGGACTGGCAATTCCAACATCAGTAGGGCAAGCCTTTCTTACCTAGAAAATTAGGTAAGAGTTGCTACTGTAGTATTGTGTCCAAATCATACCTGGCAGATCAGATGGCTACAAGCTCAGGCAGGTTTTCCATGTTCCAGTCTTAACTAAGAATTGCTTCTTCTTCAGCTAACCTTAGTTTTTGCTTTGGGAGGAGGCCCACCCATGTTATGCAGGATAATCTGCTTTACTCAAAGTCTATTGATATGAGTTATCATCACATAAAAAAAAAACTTTCACAGCAGCATCTACACTGTTATGTAACCAAACAACTGGACACTATAGCCCATCCAAATCAACACACACACTTAACCATCACAGGATACATGGATTAAAAGTGACATTTAGTCAGTATTCAAAATACCTTGGAAAGGGAAAAGCAGTTGGAGTCAGTTAGGTCATTGCAACAGCAAATGGTGTTTGAAGTGAAGAGAACAATGTATTTTACTGTAGTGATGTGGACAGAGAAATACCACTGGAGATGGAAAACATTTTAGAAACTAGTATTATTTGACAAAGGAGATAGCAAGAGAGGATTGATTTAAAAAAAAATAACAAGGTTTGTTATATTGGTGAATAGAGAAATATTCAGATAGAAATTTAGAAGTATCTTGATTTTGTTAAATTAACATTTGTTAAATAGTGCCCTAGAGTGTCAGATGGTAGTGAGTCAAGGTTTAAAGACTGCAAGGGAAAGTGAAATAGAGAAGTTTGTTACTCACAGGTCCTGGAGGAGGTACTCTAACTTCCTCCAGGGTCTACAAGGTGAGATCCAGGCAGAAAGATAGGAGGGACCTGGGTACATGCCTTTATTAGGGTTTTTGAATTGAATGTTTTGTGGTTCCCAGGCTAAGGCCAGTTTGGTCAATTCAAACCAAAAACAGTGGGGTTTTGGTAAGCTTCCTAGGGGTCTTATCTAAGGGGCACACAAGGGGACAGCCCTGGGAGGTTGGAGAGAGTACTTAGACCAAGTGTGGTTGTGCGAGTCATATTATGAACTTATATTTTCTTGTGACTCTGCTGGGCTGCTTTCTAAGTTATGCACTTTGGAGAGAGAGGGGCTAGTGTTGCTTCAAGGTTCCTGCAGGCTGCTTGGCCACACAAAATGGAAGTGGAGGCAGTAATCTTGTGAGGTAGTTTAGTTAAACTCAACAAGAAGAAATAACTTGGGAGATTATAATGCTTAGAACAGTTTTGTGTTTTCTGATTTTGATGTGACAGTAAACCATTTACATGGCAATATTCAGTCAGCTGTTGAATATTTGGAGCTGGACATGGTGAAAAAATAATAAAACGCGTTGTAAAAGTTTAGGGATTCTTCAGTAGGAATCATTCAGATGAGGCAAAGAGCAGATACCTGTTGTAGATGGATTATGCTACAATTAAGCCCTTATCAAAATCTAAGGCACAAGAACCATGAAGGAAAACCAGATAAAAGTGTTTAGAGGAGTTTGAAAGAAAATCAGAATACTATCATGTCATGGTAATGGACTCCAATGGAATGCTATCTAATTTTAAAAATCTAAACTGCATGATGACATGTTCAGTTCTTCAGATAGGCCTTCACATATCATGACTCAGACAGGATTAACCTTCTATCGCCTATAATAACGTGGGTCTCTTTCTTTCTGATTGCTCAGTAGTATATTTTGTTTCAGTTATGCAAAATGAGTAGTAAGTTCTGGAGATATAATGTACAATGTGATTATATTGAAAATATGATAGTGTATGCTTGAAATTTGCTTAGAATGTCTTCTTAGTTATAGACATCTTTCTTTTCAGAACTATTTTCTCTGTGAATTCATTGTGGACTAAAGCATTGGAAAAATCCATAAAATATACATGAGCTAAAAGGGGAAAGACTTTGCAGGATAGGGCTTCCCTTAGCACTCACAAATAGTGATGAATTCACCTTCTTACCTCCCCTCAGCACTCTTGACAAATGAGCCCATCAAAAAGAGTTTGAAAATGATATCTGTTCATGTTTCTCAAATTTTATGTTACATATGGTGTTCTGAAACCTATATTAAGAAATGAATTTTTTTTTCCAGATGATGATGATGATAGCACTATACAAGTCTGGTATAATCTTGAGATCCATATCTATCCTGGGAAACCTGTAAACATTATTGAAATTAAATGTGTTGCTATGGTAAGAGCCCATTAAATGGTCATAGATTTTGCCTTTTTGCAGGTGATCTTTTGATTGTAAACTTAAATTGCTGTCCTTGGAAAAAACCATATTATTAATACTCATGTTTGGATAAATTATTCATTTTTTAGAAATTTTATTTTTAAATCCAGTAAAGTGTACCTTGAAAGCTTATGGTAAAGATTTTTTTAGTTTTGTGATATCTTATAGTGGCTGCACTGATTAGCATTCTACCTGAATGATTTAAGAGTTACTAGAGCAAACTTAACCTTCGCCTTTATGCTTGCCCTCACATGTCTGATAAAAGCAGCAGTGTGTTTTCAGACTTTTTCAATACTAATTCTTCCTGGTTTTATAACAGGAAGAAAAATATTTGGAGCAACAGACATAGATTTAGGGTCTTAAGTAATAGTGACTAAGAATAGGATTTGTTTTATGTGAATTATTAAAGTGTTATTAACTCCATGTCCAGGATTACTTAAGAGTCAAATATTGAGAGTCTTGGTTTAAATGAAACACGAAGACAGTATTAATTGCTGTTAATCATGTTTTCATTCCATTTAATTTCCTTATTGTTAGTATTCAATACTTAAATCTGTGATAAAGATTATTTTTATTTTTAAATGTGAAGATAGATTTTTTTGTTCAATTGATTATTTAGAATCTTGAACTTTTGCTCCATCAAATATAAAATAAGGAAAGACTTAAAGCACTTTTAGTCTACAAATCAATTATTTGTCCATCTGATTTCTGGGTAAATTTCTACTGAGGCAAAGAAAATGGATGATTAAACTGTTGAAATGTACTCAAGTGTAAATTGCAAATGGAGTTTCTTCTAAGTGGAAAATCATTTAATGTGATGATGTTGGGATCATTTCACTTCATGAAAATATCCAATATCTGTGACCCTATTATCACTGCAGAATAAAATCTTAAAGGTTATTTTTAAATGATATAATTTTAACTATGAAACCACTTGCTGTGGAAAATTGTTACTAGATTAAAAGTCATCTCTTTCTCAGAACACAGGAGAAAAAATACTCTAAAAATGAGACCAGGAGAAATTGGAACCATGAGGTGGTACCTCAAAAAGGGGAAGACATTGGCTTCCTTATTAACCATATGTTTAAAATAGGGATAGAGAGGAGTAGAAATATGCAACACAAACTAGCAAATATAGATGCAATTCTAAAATAACAACCAACTGTTGCATCTTCTCATGAAATGGTATATAAAGTGTCATTTTTTGGAAAAAGTTATTAATCCGTCAAGAAAATACTGGTAGAAATTGAGATTTTTATAATTCTCAACTTCTCAAGGTGAAGATTGTCACACAGGTTGAGAAACACATACCGTCACGGTACTTTATATGGATAGGTAAGAAGACTGAGCAAAAAGCAAAAATAAACCATCACCTGTCTCTTTTAATGCACATAAAGTATGTTTTCATTTTTCTGAGGTTGGTTTTTTTTTTTTTGGTGTTTTTTTATAATCGTCATCTGAGGATATTTTTCCATTGATTTTTAGGAAGAGTGGAAGAGAGAGGGAAAGACAGAGAGAAACAGTGATGTGAAAGAGACACAGATTGGTTGCCTCTCGCACGCCCCTGACCACTGCCTGGGTGGGGAAGGAGCCTGCAACCAAGGTACATGCCCTTGACCAGAATCAAACCCAGGACCCTTTGGTCCACAGGTCAACGCCCTATTCACTAAGCCAAACCAGCTAGGTCTGTTTTCATTTTAAAAATTAAGATTTATATATACCCATTGAGGAATATATTGCTTTCATGAATAATTTACTTTCAAATGGGCCCTTTTCAATTTTCCATAAAGGACTTCCCCCTCCCCAGGCAATAATTCCATTATTATTATTTAATACCACAATAGGGTACCAATACCTCTTCTTATTTGTATAATATTTCAGATTATTATCAGTTATACTATTGTTTTTACGTGAATATTTGGCATAGTTATTTCAGAAAGACATTGAAATAATTTCCTCTCAAGGTCTACATGAAAATGCAAGTTTTGAGCCCCCATTCTATTGAGTAGTTTTATATTACAGTGCGGGGGCAAAACTTAGCACCATCAGCTGATACATTGCTCTTTTTCTCACTATAGACAGGTATTCTGTACTAATTAAATGTTCACTTTCAACTGAGTTTGGTGAGGTGGAGTCTTTTTCCACTAACTCTGTCCACATAAGCTACTAATAACAGTGATAGTGTTGCCAAGGTATTAAGCTTTGCCACCTTTCTAATAGTAATTGCCTAAGGTAAAAATGTATGAGTTATTGCCCCAGCAGCATGGCTCAGTGGTTGAGTGTTGACCTATGAGCCAGGAGGTCACTGTTCGATTCCCAGTCAGGGCACATGCCTAGGTTGTGCGCTCGATCCCCAGTGGGGGCCATGTAGGAGGCAGCCAATTAATGATTCTCTCTCATCATTGATATTTCTCTCTCTCTCTCTCCCTTCCTCTCTGAATTCAATAAAAATACATATCTATATATTTTTTAAAAAACGTATGTTATTAATTCATGAATATGAAGATTTAGTTGGTAGAGATGATATGGGTTATTTTAAACTAGAGGCCTGGTGCACAAATTCATGCACCAGTGGGGTCCCTTGGCCTGGCCTGTGGGGATCGGGCCGAAACCGGCTCTCCAACATACCCTAAGGGGTCCTGGATTGCGAGAGGGTGCAGACCAGGCCAAGGGACCCCACTGGTGCACGATCACAGGAGGCCTCTAGGGCGCATCTGGCCCATTTTGTCCAGTCCCAATCCACTAGACCCCAACAGCAAGCTAACCTACCAGTCGGAGCATCTGCCCCCTGGTGGTCAGTGCACATCATAGCAACTGGTCGGATGGTCAAACGAACAGTTGGACACTTTCCATATTAGGCTTTTATATAGAGAGATAATCCCATCAAATAAACTTTTTGTGCACTTCTTGAAGAAGATATTTTCTAAATACTTTCTGAAGTACATTAAAACTATTGTCCTCATCTATATATTGTTCCCTAGTAGTTTTGACTATAGTTGCTGTTTTTGCTAAACTTCTGAGTAATATTTAACTTAAACCTTAAATCATCAGATGTGGCAATGGAGCTTTCAAGATGCTAAGCCATCTCTAATTTTCTATTTGCTTCTCAACTTTTGTTACATTAAACCCAATTTCCACATCTTCCCTAAAGATGAATGTATGGTTAGAATCTCTCTAAAATAGGGTTTGTGTAAGAAATATTTAGACTCTGAGGCACATAAATTTGTTTACTTCTTACAGCAGGTTCCAAAAGTCATATTCACAATAAACAATAATTGGTTGCTAGTAGTTCATTTTCTGTTGGAGTAAAGTATTTAGGATTTCTTTTGGAAATTTTAACATGTAATATCTGCTATTTCATTTTTTTTAACTCAAAAATTTCATGTATGTCATATAATTTGGCTGTGGGAGAATGATGAGAGTAATCCACTATCTTCCCATTGATGCTCAATAATTCCAGTATAGCAATGGGCTATATTTTTTGAAAACAAAACTTTAGTATGCGAACAAAATTTTGTATGCTTTAAGTTTTAGATCAGTCGTAGCCTTCATAATATTTGCTCTGTAGTTGGTGATAATTATGTGAATCTTTCTTTACTTATTTTTTCATTCTGTAATAACCTTCATTTAAATTCACTCTATTGTTAATGGTGAGACCTAGAAATATCTCCACAAGCTAGTAAGAGAGGAGCATCGTGAAAAGCACAGTTAATCCACGTGGTGTCACATATAAAAACATTAATATAAAACACGTGAGTTAGCAACCTTTTTCAATAATGTTTTAGTTTAAAATTTTAGCCTTCTTAGATAGATAGATAGATAGATAGATAGATAGATAGATAGATAGATAGAGAAAACCTATAACCTATGTTAAACAACTAAGTAGGAATGTACTTCCTAGGTATTGGTCCTTGCAACTAGATATCTTTCTATTGTCACTGTATTTCATACTCCCCTCCCCCCGCAACCCCACCACAAGGTTATATGAAATGTCATAATACATGTGAACAAACCTTTAGATGCTACAGGAGTTTTCAGGTTTTTACCAACTCCTTAGTGCCTACCAATGCATCCTCACCCCCACGTTACCCCCTATCTGGCATTAGGCATTAGCATCCACCTCTTCAATCTTTGTGTCTCAGATTGAGTGGCAGAGAATTGGAGATGGGGGGTGGGAGGCATGACTTCAGTAGGTACAGTGACATATAGGTGGCAGTAGCAGAGGAATAACAATGGTGCTTCTAATTTGTAATTAGACTTTGTTTATCTGAGTTCTGAACTGTTGGCACTGAATTTTCAATTTAGGAAAATTACTGAGACAGATTAGAGTTATCACTTCCTCCAAATTAAATGGTACATTTCAGAATACCCTTATGAATAGTTTATTTATTGACTTTAATGTTTTAAAATTGAGAAAAATTAAAATTGAAGATTTCCTCAATAGTATACCTCACTTGTGTGTTTTGGACCTCAGAAATAATTTCTTCATAATGAATTTATGATTCTCTTCTGGGAGAGGATATGGTAAAAAAAAATTCTTCCTATTAGTGCATATTGAATTGCTATTGACACAATTAAACTTTTATGAGCCAAAACATAGTCTTTATTTTCTCAGACCTATTGAGAGTAGGAAGTACGAAGTTTTCAGTGCAAATACTCAGTGAATTAAATTTTTCCTGCCAGAAAGTGTGTGAATGTAATGTTTATTCACTCATTTGTTTATATAGAGGTAATCAAGAAAATGTTTGCTCCATGGACAAAGCTGCAATGTCTATCTTAAAGATATATTTTGTGAATAACTAATTCTCTCCCCATCAACACCTGCCCCCCATCAGCTTAGTATTAGGTTTTTGTGGTCACTCCTGTAATGTGACTTGACAAATTTCAAAATAGCTCCATGTCCTAAAGTACATCCATTAACAATTTTTAAAAATATGTTTTATTGATTTTCAGAGAGAGAAAGGGACATGGAGAGAGAGATAGGAACATCAATGATGAGAATCATCAATTGGCTGCCTCCTGCATTCCCCCTACTGGGGATGGAGCCTGCAACCTGGGCATGTGCCCGACTGGGAACTGAACCGTGACCTCCTGGTTCATAGGTTGACGCTCAACCACTGGGCCACACCAGTCAAGCCCCATTACCAATTTTTAAATTGTGACCGAAATGTCCAACATCCTCCTTTTTATTAGGTTAAGGCATTCTAGACAGCTGAGATATATCCTATCTATTATTCACCTTTAACACATTTGCTTCAATTAATGGCTTTTACTGTAGTGGAAACCGTGGCTGTCATGGGATGAAATATAAGTTATTAGCTAGAATAGAGGGTCAGAATGAAGACCAGGAAATGTCTTAGAACTTGAAGAGTGCCTTCCATGGCTGAGTGTGTAGCCGGGAGGTCAGGACAAGAGAAACCAAAACAGAAGAAAGGAATCTAGACAGGAAGGTGGTCATATCATCAGTATAATTTGACTTCTTAGTTCAGAATGTCCTCACTGCTTGATTTTAATGTGCAGAGCTACTTAAAGTATGTCCTCTAGATCAGCAGCAGCAGCCACAATGTTTTAGAAATATAAGTTTTCAGGCTCCATCCAAGATCTACTGAATCAGAATCTGTGTAGTAGGGCCAATAATCTGTACTTTAGCAACCACTACAGGTGATTCTATTGCATTGCTGACACTTGAGTACTACAGCTAGAGGAAATAGATAAGTAGACCTCATATTAATAATGGTACTGAGGAAAAATATTTTTTAAATGTAATTTTGTAGTGCCCTTAGCATTTAGCTAAACAGATCTTTTGGAGTAGTTACTGAAAAAATAATGTTACCATTTACCAAGACTAATTAAGGAAAACAAAAGATTAAAAGCAAATGGGATGCATTCAGTACTGGACCAAGGAGAAAAAGAAAACAAATGGCCTTATATTGTATCAAAGTTTTCTTTGTATTTGCTTCCATAGAACAGTGACTCTATGCTGACACTAAGAGCTGATTATATTTATTCTTTAATTCTAGGAGACCATTTGTTTTGAAATACCTCTCCGTAATGCCAAAGAGACAACTCTTCAAATAGAAGTGCTGTTATCAAATCCTGCCCTTAGTGGAATCAAGAAATTTGTGCTGAATCCAGAAGAATGTATCGACTATGCATTATGCTATACTCCAGCGGCTACAGGCTGTAGAGAGGAAAAGTATGGCATTATATTTTACTAGAGGCCCGGTGCACAAAATTCATGCGCGGGGGGCGGGGGGGGGGGTCCCCTCAGCCCAGCCTGCACCCTCTTGCAGTCCGGGAGCCAACCATTAGCCCAGCTTCTGGCTGAGTGGCGCACACTGACCACAAGGGGGCAGCTCCTGCATTGAGCATCTATCCTCTGGTGGTCAGTATGTGTCATAGCGACTGGTTATTCCACTGTTTGGTCAATTTGCATATTAGCCTATTATTATATAGGATTTTTGATTTTTTTTATTGTTGATTTTTTTAATTAAGCTTTTAAAATGATTATTTGTTTGCTGTAATCATTTAGATTACACTTGCTCATAGTTTTAGGTTTTTAAAATACCATTCATTTATAAAATGTACTAATTTAGAGTTAGCACTGTTTTACCCAATGCAAAATTATTATCTTGGGGAACAGCAAATTAAATAAGCCCTAAATTACTCTTTATGTACCCTCTTTCATTCCACTTTTCACTAACCAAAATTTTCTAGGTGCAAAAAATTGAGTCAAATGAAAATGATTACACAAGGATTAGGGGTTAAAGTTTCAATTTTCTTGATGAAATTAATTTACATTTTATATTTGCAATTAAAAATAAATCATCATGCAAAACAAAGAATATTAAATTAAGGGTATTATACTATGCTAAATATATGCACAGATGCTTCTTACGATGGGATTTACTGGTATTTCCCAATAAACCCGTTGTGAGTTGAAAATAGTGTAAGTAAAAAATGCTTTTGTTATACCTAACCTACCAAATATCATAACTTAGTCTAGCCTACTGTAAGTGTGCTCAGAACACTTACATTAGCTTACAGATGAGCAAAATTATGTAAAACAATAAATAGTATTAGTTGTAACCAGGAAAATATCAAAATTAAAAATTTCAATTATGGTTTCCACTGAATGCATTTCAGTTTTGTACCATTGCAAAGTTGAAAGATAATTAGTTAGACCATTTAAGTTGAATCATTATAAGTTGGGGACCATCTTTGTGCACGCACATCACAAACATACACCAATATATACACATATTAATAGTGCAATGATAAGTGTTTTTATAGCATGATAATTATGAAAAACACTAGAGGCCTGGTGCACAAAATTCGTGCATGGCTACAGTCCCTGGGCCTGGCCAGCAATCAAAGTGTGAGTGTCTGGCATGGAAGGGCTGACCTCTGGGCCCTGGGCAGCACCTGGGCCCCAGGGCCCCTGTGCGCCGCCCTCTGCCTGAGTCATGGCACCCAAGTCCCCATGTGGAGATGAGGTGAGCATGGCTGGATGCCGTGAGCCGGGTCGCAGCATGGGCCTCTGGGCCACCGAGCAATACCACACAGAAGCTGGTTGGGCAGCACACTCTCTCCCGGCTGGATTCACAGACCAGCTCTTGTGTGAACCCACGGGGAGTCCGACTGGCCCCTGCAGTCCCGGCGGCTACAGCCCGGCTCACCCGGAAGACGCCATGCAGGTATGGGGCAGGCTCCTTGCGGGTGCCCAGCATCTGTGTATGGGGGCTTCCCCAGTGTGCAAGCTCTGGTGTTCCAGGGGAGGGTAACAGGGGGAGTGAGAGCGAGCTCAGCAAACACCCCACATTCTCACCGCACCTCCATCCCCGTCACCCAAGCCCCCAGGTAGCCAGTGAGAGGTTGCAGTGCATTGCTGATGCCTGCCATGTTCTGTGCCTCCCCCTGGTGGTCAGTGCACATCATAGCAAGCAGCTGAACTCCCAGTTGAATGACCAGCCGAGGGAACAATTTGCATATTATACTTATTACATAGGATAGTACTGTATACTAAGTTACATGCATACACAAACACATAACCTTTATGTTCATGACTAACTCAATTAGTTTATAGTAAAACTAGTGGCCCAGTGCATGAAATTCGTGCACAGTAAAAGGAGATTAATTAGCCATAACTGGTTTGGCTCAGTGGATAGAGCGTCGGCCTGCGGACTGAAAGGTCCCAGGTTCAATTCCAGTCAAGGGCATGTACCTTGGTTGCAGGCACATCCCCAGTAGGAGGTGTGCAGGAGGCAGCTGATCGATGTTTCTGACTATCTCTCTCCCTTCCTCTCTGTAAAAAATCAATAACATATTTTAAAAAAATAAATAAATAAAAGGAGATTAATTAGAGGAAAGATTTTAATATTGCTATTTGCCCTTTCTCTATAATAGAAGTTTCAGAGATGAAAGAAAATAGTAAAATGTATATGAAAATCTTCCTCCTGTCAGAGCCTGGGGTGCATCACGGGACCCAGAGTCAAGTCCCCGCCCACCCACATGCGCCTCAAAATTGCGCAAGACCCAGACCTGGCCGACCCACCCCCCCAGTTGGGCTAGATCCAGACCCGATCAGTCCCACCCTTGTCAAGCCCCACCTGGCAGGGGCGCAGCCTCAGGTCCGCTGGCCTGGCGCCAGGGCAGGGGGCATTGCCTGAGGTTTTCCATCAAGCCCTGTGGGTGGGGGCATGGCTTGAGGTCCCTGGCCTGGCTCTGTGATGGGGGGAGTGGCCTGAGGTCCCCCGTCAAGCCCTGCTGGGCAGGGGGCACAGCTTGAGGTCCCCCAGCCTGGTGCCAAGGCAGGGAGCATGGCCTGAGGTCCCCTGGCTTGACACCAAGGTGGGGGGCATGGCCTGAGGTCCCCTGTCAAGCCCTGCTGGGAGGGGGGCACAGCCTGAGGTCCCCGGCCTGGCCCCAGGTTTGGGGGCATGGCCTGAGGTCCCCTGTGAAGCCCCACAGTGGCGGGCAAGGGGACGCAGCCTCAGGTCCCTGCTGATTGCTCCTTAAGGCTCATTACGGGAACTTAGACTCCTCTGTGGGTGCAGCCATCTTGTTTACGGAAACCCCGCCTCTGCTGTGGGCGCCGCCATCTTTGTGGCGGAGTGACAGTCAATTTACATATTCCCTCTTTATTATATAAGATAATCAACTTGTTTCACAGTAATAGCCCATTTATTTACTATAGTTTTAAAGACTAGACTTAGTATAGTAAGTATAATGAAATGCATTAGTTATTCCATTAAAATTACTTTTGCTAGTTTATATGCTCTTTCAGAGTTAGAATAATTCTTATTTTAATGAATGATGATTAAATAAATATATATGTGAAATTTTAGAGGATAAAATTTTTGTACTTTGAAGCAGAAATAAAACACATATTATAAAAGATACCTTCTTGATAGATTACCATTGTAAATGTGGGCCAGTCTCCTCTCTCCAGTGTGCTGTAAACACAGAATGAATCTTGGATTTTCTTTATCAGCACACGTTAGAAGACATAATTTGGGGTAATACTTATTGACTGCTTACTCTGTTATCATCACTGGGGCATGTATTTTGCATACATACACACATAAATTTCTCATAGTAACCCTGATAGAGTAGTAAGAATAATTGCTCCCATTTTATAAATGATGAAATTGAAGCTCAAAATGTTAAGTGACTTGTTCAAGTCCGCACAAATAAAAGAAGAGCTGAGATACCAGCCCAGTTATACTGTCACTTGCTCTGTCACTGTCTCCCCCATAGAAGAGAGCATGTTGATTATAAAGGAAACTGTCCAGAGCTGCATGTCACTTCATAGCTTTCACATGAAAAAATACATGTGTTTAATTGACAAACTAACTTTGATTTAATCACACTTTGAAAACAGAACTTTTCTTATTTTAACTTCTGTAAGGTATTTGAATTATTTAGGTTTAAACATTGTTCATTGATTTAACAGGCATTTTGATTAAGCAGATGTTAATAATGGCACTGTTTTTTTTTTTAATAATGAGATGATTTTCTCACCAAAAATGAAAAAAAAAATTAAATATATCTATAATGAGAGTAGAATGTGTCACAGAGTCATTGTCAAATATTGTATTTGGGATATTTTTTTCTGCCAAATTTATTATACAAACTAAAGTGACTGATAAATTTTGTATATTCTCTCCACCAGCATTATTTTTCAGCCTGATAAGGTTCTAGAGTTCTGGTATATACTGAAATTTACTGTCGAACTCCCAAATCCAACCAAATTGCCAGAAATGGTGTGTGACCTTGGAAAGTAAGTTCTATTTAGTAGATATAATTATTTCATGAAAGAAAAAATTCATCTAAAAGTGTTATAATATGTTTAACATTTTAAAAAAGACATGAATATGTTTTTAATTGCTTTTCTTTTCCAGGAAAGGTTTGATATTTAAAGTACCCCATGGAACACTTCAGTGAAAAAACAAAAATCAAGTCAGGATTTAGGAGGGAGAAGCTTTTACTAGGAGTGATTATTGCAAGTGAGGGAAAGAGACTACAGAAATAGTTGTAGGGGACTATTGCAGTAGGGAGAATTCTCTGATCTCTGAAATATGCAAGTGTCTCAAAATCAAATAGAAAAAGCTTTTTACTTTATAGGGTAATGGAGGGGCAAGTGGAGAGAGCTAAGCAGAATCTTTAGAAGGAAAACTAGACAAGGATGGGAAAATGACCAGTGGGGACTGATCGGAAAAGCATCTCACTGGAATAAGCTAATTCACAGGAAAAGCCAAGAACAGAGAAATGTCCTTTTTTCTTTTCTTTTCTTTGTGTGTGTGTGTGTGTGTGTGTGTGCTTGCTCAGTTTTGGAGACAGCAGTGTTCAGGGGGCTGTAGGAAAGAGAGAAGGCGGACTGAAGTTTGGTCAAGGCAAAGCAGAGGGTAAGCAATAGGCAACTGAAAATACTTGATCACGTGGTTAATACTGTAGTCCCTTGAAATATGGCCATTTATATTTAGGTGGTTGAGTTCTTATTATATGTTTGGCACTGAGTTTGGTGCTATTACATAGGGATAACCAAGTCACAATTTCTGCTAGTAGGCAAATCAGTGCCTTTTCATCAATTTTTCTCCCTAAGCACACCAAAAGAGTGTTTTATTCTCCTAATACCAGACCTTGAGCCAAAACCTCACTGCAAGTGATTTATTAAGGAGTGATCCAAGTTAGCAAAATCAGTAAGAGAATAGGGCAAGTGGGATAAGAAAAGAGAAGCTCAGCAAGGGTATGATTTCAAGTATAGTCCCAGACTTTATCTGATCCTGCAGAAAGTCCTGGAGCATAAATCACATCTCAGAATTGGTCTTGTCATTGATGCCAAGATGCTGGGCTTTTGACTCCCATACTAGTCACTATACAGTCCTTAGGATGAGCTATAAGCTCCCAGATACTTCTCCTGTAAGGTTGAGGAGGCTCCAGGACCCAAGGGTAATCATCTGAAGGTCTCACATGGAAGATGAACAGCAAGATTTCAGAAGTTGGGTGATGGGGGCAGAGAGCTGGTAAAAATCTTCAGGAACCAGGTGGGATACCAGCAGTATCTACTACAAGTTATTTATAAACTTATTTCTAGTTTTATATATTTTTCTAGTTTTAAAATAAATGTTAATAGAGGTAAACTATATATATGTATAAATAATTATTAATACATGTAAGACAATTTTGTGAAAATATTTGTCTCACAGTTTTACAATCATGATTTTTTTATTTCATTAAAACACACTAGCCTTTTCTCTTTTTAGGTCCTTGTTATTTTTTAACATGTTTTTTTAAAAAATAATTTCTTTTTCTCCAAGTCATACTGTGTATAATTAAAAGACATGATATTTAAAGATGTTTGGTGGTAACTATTTATTTTTTTAACCAGCCTTGTTTTGGATTCTTATCCCCTTCAAAATTTTCAGTTTTTCATTGTACCCAGTGTCCTTAAAATTCTTAATATGTTGGTATGGCTCTATTTTCACACATTTTTCCAGGTATTTGAGGTCTCTTTCAATATGGCAACAAGTGACATAATTTTTGTTTCTGGAAATCTCGACTTATGCCATCTCTCTATTTTCTCTCTTCTCTCTTTCTACATCTATGTTTTGGATTTAGAACTTGGGGACTATTTTGATAATGTTCTTACTTTTTTTGTCTTTTCTCCCAACATTTGTATTTTTGCATTTAGACATATTTGTTCAGTTTTATAGTCCAATCTTTTTGTTGAATTTTCATGTCAGCTATCAACATCCAAGACCATTTTTTATTTCTGTTTGTATTAGGATGCTTCTTTTGTTTACTTAAAAAATGTAATGTTCTCTTCTTATTTCATGTTTGTAATATCTTCTCTCTATCCCTTAAGGTATGAATGGTCATTTTAAAAAACCATGGACTTTATCTTAATGTTTTTGCTTTTTCCTGTTAGAAACTTTATCTGATGCTTATTTTACTCATATTTATATGTGAGGCTCTAAATTGATAGTTGGGCCTTATTGACCTATTCATGTTGTTCTGTGTCCTATTCCTCATTTGAAAAAACATTCCTTTTTATTTTGATGAACCTTTTTTCCAGGTTTTGTCTAATATGAAAAATGTTGTTTATAACATTGTATATGCTTTTGTTGCACATTTGTGCTCATTTCTGTTATGTAAACAATTTAAATTTGGTGGTTAATGACAAAGAATTTGAAATTGCTTGTACCTTTTTATACTCCTACTAAAGGCCTGGTGCACACAAAAATTTGTACACTCGGGGGGGGGGGGGGTCCCTCAGCCCAGCCTGTGCCCTTTCACAGTCTGGGACCCCTCGGGGGATGACCACCTGCTGGCTTAGGCCCACTCCCCAGGGGATTGGGCCTAAGCTGGCAATCAGACATCCCTCTGGCAGCCTGGGAGACCTCGGGGGATGTCCACTTGCCAGCGGGGAGCAGGCCTGAGCTGCAGTCAGACATCCTTAGTGCTGCTGAGGAGGCGGGAGAGGCTCCCACCACCACTGCTGTACTGGTACCCATCAGCCTGGCTTGTGGCTGAGCAGAGCTCCCCCTGTGGGAGTGCACTGACCACCAAGGGGCAATTCCTGCATTGAGCGTCTGCCCCCTGGTGATCAGTGTGTGTCATAGTGACCAGTCATTCCCAGTTGTTCTGCTGTTAGGGTCAATTTGCATATTACCCTTTTATTATATAGGACTAGCCACAAATGAATTATATTTGCTTCATACCCTCAAAAACATGGGTATTGTAAAACTAGTTTTAACCTTTCTAGTGCATTTGAAGTGGTACCTCAGTGCACTTTTAGTTTGCATTTTCCTCATGATTAATGAAGTTGACTCCCTGGTCATATATTTATAGATCATGTTGATAGTCTTTTCTTTCAATTACCGTTTACATTCAGTGTTATTTTGTATTAGTTTCAGGTGGACAGCACAGTGGCTGGACAGTACTGGTTTTCATAGTGCCTATACCAATCTGCATTTCATCAACAGTGTGTGACTGTTCCCTTTTCTCCACATTCTCACCAATATATATCTTACTTTAAAAAAAATATTTATCCTACCAGGTGTGAGGTGATTTCGCAGTGTGGTTTTGGTTTGCTTTATATGAAAAGGCATTAGAAATGATGGTGAATTGAGAATTATGAACCCTCTTGATTATTACTTGCTTTGACCATAAATACCAGCCACATTTTGGGGGAGGCAGGTTTATTTCATCATCAGTTTGTATTTTCTTGATGTAATGGACAGAACTTTGTTAATTTGTTACTTTTTGTTATTATTTATATACTATGTTAACTTTTTTGTCTGGATTTAACAGTTATAAAGTAATTTGTAAACATTGCTCCTAAAACTGGAATATGTTCCAGTACCCAATGTGTAAATACCATTGGTGTAAAAATATAGAGAAGGGATCAGGGATTATCTAATTTAGCAAAATGTCATTAGTTAATATTTGATGATTCTTATTTTGAAACTCATACAAGTTGTATTAGCTTCCTAAGCCTGCCATAACAAGTACCATAAACTGAGTGGCTTACGACAACATAAGTTTATTGTCTCACAGTTTTGGAGGCTAGAAGATTGAAATCAAGGTTTCAGGAGGACCATGCTTCTTCTGAGACCAGTAAGGGAGAATCTTTCCTTGCCTCTTCTGGCTTCTGGTGCTTGCATGCAACTCTTGGTGTTCCTTGCCTTATGGATGCATCGCTCCAATCTCCACCTCCACTGTCACCTGGCTATCTTCTCATGTGTCTTCATATCATCTTCATATAGGGACAGCAGTCATACTGGATTAAGGGCCACCCTATTCCAGTATGACCTCATTTTAACTAATAACATTTGCGACAACCCGATTTCTAAATAAAGTCACACTCGGAAGTATTGGGAATTAGGACTTCAATTTATCTTTTTGCAGCATGCAATTCAACACATACCAGGGAATAGTAATCAAGTTTATAAAGTTAACATTGAATAAGTTTATGAACAAGGTTACTAGCTTTGTTTTTCTTCCTAGGTTTATCATTCAGAACTTTCCTTTAACTAATCCTACACATGAAACCTTAGAATTGCAAGTAAGAAACAGTAATCCTGATAATTTCTTCCTGGATTCTCAGAAATTACTGGTAAGTATATTCAGAAAGCCAAGTGTCCTATCACCACCAGAACATCTTCCAATTCTGTTTTTCGGTCACCGTGGGATATGAGCATTTCAATTATTAATGAGGTTTCAAATGTCTAAAAATTAAAAATGGAATTTTTATAAATATATATCCCCGACTTTAATTTATCAAAAAAATATAATGTTCATATATATTTTTGAAATTATATATGCCAGATTCATGTTCATTATCACTGAATTCTAAATAAATTGTGCTTTATTTGTGACCAAATTGGTAATCAGTTTTTGCGGTAGATTATCAGTAATGTGATTTTGACTCAACAGTCATGCTGTGTTTCCAGGATCCCGAAAGGCCAGTTCCTTTCCAGCATACCACCCCTCCCCCACTTCCAGATAGTGCTGACAGCTCTTCCCCTCTCCTCTTTTCTCTGCCCCATTTTCCCATTCCTTGGTCCCTGGAAGAGAGTAGAGCCTCTCAATGAGCCTCAATCACTTTTTTTCCTCCCCCACTAACAAAATAAGATCTGAAGGTTCACCATCAGTATCTACATTTGCAAAGAATATATCAAATATGTCTGTGAATGTCAAAACCATGCTTTCAGCTAAGTTTCAAAATAATCATTGCAATAGATTATTCTCTTCAGAGGACCTCAGAGTGAATCATGAAGCCCTACTAAGTAGCTATGGTATTTAAATAAAGGCTTTTACTATTTGCCTTTAAATGGTTGTTTAAAAATCTGTAATGTGATTTTTAATCTATATCATAATACCTATCTCTCATCAATCACTGGTTGCCAACTAACAATATCATGATGCGAAATTAGTAATTAACTGTCATAATGTGTCACATTAGATAGCACTATTATTTTGCTAAATTTGATATATATGGTAATCTTTAAAAAGTTATGTTAAAATATACACACTTATATTACTTAATACTGTATTTTCCATAAATTAAAATGGAATGGAATGTTCAGGATATAATTGAAAAATAACAAATTTCTTATTAGAAAGTGCTTTTTGTTGTTGTTTGTTTTTTTAATCCTCACCCAAGGATATGTTTATTGATTTTAGAGAGAGTGTAAGCGGAAGAGAGAGGGGGGGTGGGGAAATATTGATGTGAGAGAGAAACATTGATTGGTAGTCTTCAGTATGCAGCCGTCCAATCTACAACCTAGGTAGTAGTATGTGCCCTGACCAGGAATCAGCCCAGCAACCTTTTGGTGTATGGGACAATGCTACAACCAACTGAACCACTGGGCCAGGGCAAAAGTGGTGTTTTTATATCCTTTATATCACTACTTGTACAGAAGAATGTAAATTGTGGTACAAGGGAAAACAAATACAACATATTGCAGATGCCAACTTTATTACATAATGCAAAATATGGACTCTGCTTTAATATTTCCAACTGTGTCTTTCTATTTCATTAATTTTTATTTTTATACATTTATCAAATATTAAGTATGAAACAAGCAACTAATTTCAGTGTTATGAAATGACTCAAAAATATACTTATAAATTTACCAAAAATAATATTGTAGAACAAATTAGGAGAACACATGAATGTTAATGGTAGTAAATGGAAAGAATATACGTACATAAAACTTCACTTATGGTTTTGTTGCATAGTACTCATGTTTACACAAGTAGGGATTTTAAAATATTGATTATAGCCCATAAATGCTTTAATAAATAAGCATTGATTGATTACCAATGCAAATAATGATATAAAAAACTTGCTTTCCTCCAATGATATATTATGATTTTTTTTAAAGGTATAAAAGTTGAAAGAATAATACAACGCACAAACTTGTACCTTCTACTTTGTTTCTTATATTAATGGTTTGCCATATTTCTCTCTTCTTTCTCTTATATTTCTTTTTTTTTCTTTTACTCTCATTTAAATTGGACATTTTCCATTTAATTTTATTTTTTAATTACATTTTACTTTCAATATTATTTTGTATTGGTTCAGGTGTACAGCATAGTGGTTAGATGATCCTATACTTTACAAAGTGTTCCCCCAATATTTCCAGTACCCAACTGGCATCATACATAGTTATTGCAATATTATTGATTATATTCCCTATGTTGTATTTTATTTACATCTTTTTGGGGGGTTAACTACCAATTTATACTTCTTAATCCCTTCACTATTTAATTTGAAGGTAAGTAGCACCATTCTATTTAAGCACTAAATACTTCGGATTATAGTTCTTAAGAGTATATTAATCTCCAACATCATTCAGTATCCTGTTCAAATTTCAGTTTATGAACCTGCCACAAGGCTCTTCCTCTTGAGCTAGCATCCAGTGTAATAAGCTCACGCATTGGAATTGGTTGTTATCATGACACTTGCTTGCAATGAAAAGTTTCTCAAAGATTCTATCTTTACACACCAATAAATTTAGTAAAATTTACTAGTTAAATTCCAAACAATGGTGTTTATCTTTCTTTCCTTGAGAACATTGGAAATGCATTTTTCAGCTAATTTTAGGTAAAAATAAAGGAATTTTATTGAATTACTGCTTGGTTGTATAAACTACCTCAATCTTCACCATATAAATTTATAGAAGAGGAATTTGAAGACAGAAAGAGAAAAATACTTAAGCCACATAGTTATTACTAGAGTTAAATCAAATTTAATAAAGTATAATATATTTTTCCTATGAAATAGGTTATTTTTGTCATATATATATATATATATATATATATATATATATATTTCCTATATGTATAGAGAAACTTTTTTCATGTTTGCTAAATTTAACGAATATATGAAATGCAAAATTTTTTGCTAAGTTCGATCCTAAAATTAATTTATACTCCTTAAATGTTCATTAACTAATAACTAATAACCTCCAAAAATTTGAAGTATCAGAGAACCAGTCTGAGATAAAAATATTTGCTGTAGATAAACCACACTTACACATCATAAGGATATAATGCTGTTCTAAATTTAAAGTTAAGCCTGTATATGGATTCCATTGTCATCAGAGTTTGTTGAGAACCAAGTAATTTAGATTTCCTTACATAGAGTGACTAGTTCTATGTGGTCATTTTCTGGGGAAAGGCCATGGCACAAGCACTATTAAACAGTGTTTACCAGCAGATGTTTTACCAATATTTGTCAAGCAGGCATACTGAGATTGGATAGTGTACAAGGCAATATATTGATCACACAGATATCAACCCAGCATACATCTAGTGCACAAAGATGCTGACTCAAACAAAAGTATTAATTGCTTTGTTTCTCTTTTTATTCTTTCTAAATTTACACAGCTGACCATGGCTCCTCGCTCCACGGAAAGGATACGTGTTCGCTTTTGTCCTTCTGCTCTTGGAAGAACCAGTCAGCAAGCTACTCTTACCTTCTACTGTGCTCAGGTATGATAGAGTATTCTTAGTCCAAGTCAAGTTAATTAAATTTTAAAGTCAACAAATAAATAAATCTTATTCATCCAGGTGACATCTTTTGCAAGCAGAATAAGCTTATTATAAACTATAATTAAATGAACTTTTGGAAATATAATATACATCATGCATGTGCAAGCATTTAAAAGAGGCATTTTTATGTCCTTAGATTGCTTGAGTGAAGGAGAATATATACCCAGATTTTAAAATATATATATTTTTATGTAAATACAAAATTGCTGTCATTTATGTTAATTTTCTGACTTGGGTTTCACTATCCAAATTTTCATGAACTTAAATATAAACTGTAGGAAATGTGATCTTGCAAATATCATGTTATTTTTTCACTTTATTTCAACTGTACAGCATTCTTGGATAATAATTTTTCTGAATAATAGTAATTTTTAAAAACAAAAATTGTTAATCATTTTTTAAGCATCTCTAAGCTTGCTGTATGCCATGCTTAGTTATCTCAGTTCATTATCACCACAGTCCTAAGGTGAAAGGATTATTAACCCCATTTTACAGATCAGGAAACTGAGACGTAGAAATAAAGATCAGGTAGCTGGTAAGAGGTTGAACACAAACCTCAACCCAGCATGTCTGGCTTCAACCCATTTTCATGACTATTTTTACAACTTCCTACAGATTGCCAATTGATTAAAACTCTCTTACTGCCAATGAAAACTTTACATAACCTTTTGCATTTATTATTATTTTGTACTTCTTCAGGTGTTGATAGGGAGGAAAGTAAATGGATATCAGAACTTTAAATCCTAAGGGGCACCAAGGAACCTGCCATCTGAGAGGCAGTGGAATCCCATATAATATGTCAGTGCAAGACTTGTGTGTGACTGAAGTATCCTCTTTTCTAAAACAATGTGTAACCTTTAGGAAAAAAAAATGAGGCTATTAAATTTCCTATATGATTATTGACTTATACATGACCTGAAGCAATACTATGGAAGTTTGTGTGCCTCCGAAATATTAAAGAAAACAAATAGTAATCCTTTTCCTACAGAAGGGAAAGTACAGTGGAGATTATATTATTTTACACAAATAATTTTAAGAAGGCACACTTTTAAATAATATAATTGCTTCTTAGCAGGTTTAGCCCCTTCATCTTACTTAATTATTGGAGGCAATTTAGTAGCTTGTATTTCTGATGGAAATTATATCTGCTCAAGGATAATCAGGCACATTAGCAGGGCAATTACCAGTTCTCCATCTTAATAGCTTTAGAAAATCCTAGCCTAGACAATGAATGTGAAATTCTTAATCAAACACAAAGAACTCAGACAAGTAATGAACTCAAGCCTTTTATAAATCAATTTTACATTGGTGCTTGATTTCAGTTGCTCCCAGCACCTCCAAGTTGTAGCAAATCTCCAAGGATTCATCTGTGGTTAGACCTTGGCCCATCATTCATTCATCCCCCTTCAACCTTTTAAACATATTACCCTAACCTTTCTGATTGTTTTGCCTTTTCTTTTTTTATCCTTTTTTTCCCCATCTCTGAATCATTTGAGTCTTCCTCTTTTATTCAATTTATCCAGTCATCCTAAAGTATTAATTGAATGAACTTTGGAAAATACAATATACATCATGTAAGTGTAGACATATGAGAAAGATAGTTTTTTAAATAAAGTTTTTGGGTTTGCACTTCTAAGAATTTGCAATTACTTTAACTTTTAAGGAAAAATTCATGTAGATTTCTGTCCCTCTCTTGATTTCACTGATAAATACATTTGAATTGACATGTACAACTGAGTAGCTGATTAATCAAAAATCTAGTAATGGCTATTCTTTTAGGGTAAGTTTTAAGTATTTCTGATTGTTACTCTTTGCTGACCTTAAGGAAATGGCTGTAGATTTTTATTTATTTCATGGATTTCTGATTTGAATCCGTATACAGAGCTCTGCATTGTCAAAATTTAATTTTAGGCTAAAGTTGATTGTCAAGATTTTGAATCCTAAGATTAATTTGTTAGGATACCATAACTACGTATATCATGAACTCATATTATGCTGCTGGATTCTGTAAATGAGATTGTGTTCCTGCCTATCAGAATAATAGGAATAGTAGTAAGCAGCAAATGTGGTAAGGGGGCCTTCTGAGATATTTTTGTTGGTTTTCAGTTGTTTCATTTTTATTTTCAAATAGTTGCCAATATTTGTTTCATTTGTACTTCACTGTGTGAATCACTGCATCTAAAGGTCAGACTAGCAAAAATTAAGGAAAGAAGACAAAGTCAGAGTGGTATTATCTCCCAGCCTGTCTATGATCCTATATACTGTCTTTGGAAAACTTTGTTGCTTCTTAGCCAGTTCTAATGCTCTTGAGCTATACTCAGTGTGCAAGCCAGTTTTACTATCTTTTAACTCTACTTTTTTTTCTCTCAGAAACATTGTAATTGGATCTTTAAAGTTTCTTTTTACTGTGTCTCCTTTCAAAGAAGTTTGAGATAAAGATGGGATAAGAAATGTTACTTATTTTTTAATGCATATTTTTGTTGGGATACTTTTTAATTTTCCTCTCTGAACCCAAGAGGATAATTTAAGCAATGCTAGGGCAAGTGTTGTATACTAGTGTTCCATCATGGTGGGATGTAGGAGGTTTAACTTAAAAGCTCTAATACTCCAGGCCATTCGGCAAAGACATGAAATCGTGACCTTCTTGTTTTTGTACTTTGGCTCATTCCCAATGGCTCAAAGTAACCTCATTTCTGTCATACAGGATTTATTTATTTATTTATTTATTTTTTTTTTATTTTTTTTTTTTCTTACCCCCCTACCTCCTGCCCCGCAACCCTCCCCGGCCTTCCTGCTGCAGTTTGACAATCTGTTTGAGGCAGCTCTGCCTCTGTATCTATTATTGTTCAAAAGTTTATAATGGTCTCTATTATCCATGAATGAGTGAGATCATGTGGTATTTTTCCTTCATTGACTGGCTTATTTCACTTAGCATAATGCTCTCCAGTTCCATCCATGACGTTGCAAATGGTAAGAGTTCCTTCCTTTTTAGAGCAGCATAGTATTCCATCGTGTAGATGTACCACAGTTTTCTAATCCATTCATCTACTGATGGGCACTTAGGCTGTTTCCAGATCTTAGCTATGGTGAATTGTGCTGCTATGAACATAGGGGTGCATATATCCTTTCTGATTGGTGTTTCTGGTTTCTTGGGATATATTCCTAGAAGTGGGATCACAGGGTCAAATGGGAGTTCCATTTTCAGTTTTTTAAGGAAACTCCATACTGTCTTCCATAGTGGCTGCACCAGTCTGCATTCCCACCAGCAGTGCACAAGTGTTCCTTTTTCTCCACATCCTCTCCAGCACTTGTCGTTTGTTGATTTGTTGATGATAGCCAGTCTGACAGGTGTGAGATGGTACCTCATTGTTGTTTTGATTTGCATCTCTCGGATGATTAGTGACTTTGAGCATGTTTTCATATGTCTCTTGGCTTTCTGAATGTCCTCTTTTGAAAGGTGTCTATTTAGGTCCTTTGCCCATTTTTTGATTGGATTGTTTATCTTCCTTTTGTTAAGTTGTATGAGTTCCCTATAAATTTTGGAGATTAGGCCCTTATCGGATATGACATTGGCAAATATGTTTTCCCACACAGTGGGTTTTCTCGTTGTTTTGTTGATGGTTTCTTTTGCTGTGCAGAAGCTTTTTATTTTGATGTAGTCCCATTTGTTCATTTTCTCTTTAGTTTCAAGTGCCCTAGGAGCTGTATCAGTGAAGAAATTGCTTCGGCATATGTCTGAGATTTTGTTGCCTTTGGATTCTTCTAGAATTTTTATAGTTTCCTGTCGTACATTTAAGTCCTTTATCCATTTTGAGTTTATTTTTGTGTATGGTGTAAGTTGGTGGTCTAGTTTCATTTTCTTGCATATATCTGTCCAATTTTCCCAGCACCATTTATTGAAGAGACTATCTTGGCTCCATTGTATGTTCTTGCCTCCTTTGTCAAATATTAATTGAGCATATTGGTTCGAGCCGATTTCTGGGCTCTCTATTCTATTCCATTGATCTATATGCCTATTCTTGTGCCAGTACCAGGCAGTTTTGAGAACAGTGGCTTTGTAATACATCTTGATATCTGGTATTGAGATCCCACCTACTTTGGTCTTTTTCAGGATTGCTGCAGCTATTCGAGGTAGGATTTATTTAATTAAGTAGCCAAAAAATAAGTAATTTACATAAATTGTTTGTAATTTAATTTAACCCAGCCAGCCAATTACATCTAATCAAATTAGGACATCATAAGTGAAAATCTAGTGAACTTACATTTTGCAAGTAGAATCTGTAACTAATACAGTCATTTGAAGATAATATGCAGATAAAACTTGCCTTTATTCATCCCTACTCAGAGATAGCTTTGTATCATTTCCTGTCCCACTTTGAAACAATATTAAAGTAAGTTTCTGTTAGGTTAGGTGGCTCAGGAGACGGCGCAAGAAATAGAGTCCAGTGAATCAGAAAAGAAAGGAAAGGAAAAGGTTTATTTCTGCATCCCTGGGAGACCCACGTACCCCCAGGACAGGGCACGTGGATTCACACCAACAGGGAGGGGGGCGCTTTTTTTATACTGCAGTTGGGTGAGGGGCGGGGACATGAGCTGAGGTATTCAGTTGAGGAAGTTTCAGCTGCAGGGGTCAGCCAGGTATTCAGGAATGAGTCAGTATCTGTGTGGGGGTCCTGGAGAAGCTTAGTATCTGTGTCTGGCCAGCTGATCTGTGAGAAATTCCAGGGGAATGCCAGAAGCCGGTCCATCCTTGCTGCTTGACACAGTCGCTGCAGGAAAGAAACATCTGCACAGCATATGTTTCAAGGGACCTGGCGTATATAGCATACTGTTCTTAATATGTTTGCTCCCCTTAGCGCTGTGTGTTTTAACCAAGGTCTCCTCTCCGAGAAAGGTTGTTTCCCCAGGTAGGGATTTTTCCCTGAAGTTAGGGAGGGGAT